TGGCACTTCACACACACACACACACACACACACACATTCAGCTGTCTGGTGGCAAAATACTACTGTCACAAATTATTTCCTATTGCATATAACTATTAATCTACACAGTGTGTTGTATTGAAGGTTTTAAACTAAAGAATCCCTGATATCAACGGACAGCAAAATTACTCCTCTGCACTTCTGCTAGTCACTGCATTACTCACATTTTCCCCTTTAGGCTATGCTGCAAATTACCAGATGCAAAAGAACTGGCAGTGCAATCCTAAACACAGTTATACCCTTCAAAGCCCACTGACCTCAACAAACTCAAAAAGACGTAACTCAGTTAAGGATTGCACTGTCAGTTTCCATGGCCTGCTTCCATCTTTGCATTGCTAGTCTATTGTTTATGAATGGATGTAATCCAACTTGTTTGTCTATATAGAGTGCAATCAACTTATACTGTATGCAAAAGCTTCAGTGGCATTAAATGAAGTGCATAAAGACAGGCTGATTAAATTTTGTTGCCTTTGCTAGCTGTGTTCTTTCATGGAAAATCTGATTTCCATCTCCCAGATGAAATCGATTCAGAAGTGCAACAGAACTAAATATAGAACTCTTCTAAATTCTAGTTTTGTGACAGCAATTGCAGAAATGGTTCCACCTTATCATAATGTGATCTAAATGCGATCAAAATGACAGCCCTTAAATGCATTATTCAGTTTTTCTTCCTTTTTTGATATTTCTGTATAACTAAAATACTGCAGGCTCATTAGTCTAAATTTCATATAATATTTATATTTGTGAATATTTGATACATATTAATGCATGTCATTAAACTACATATTTTAACAACACAGTCGGGGGGGGGAGCAAAAGTGCCCAAGGACTCAACAAAGTGCTATGCCAGTGTACTGCCAATATATGCCAATGAGATGGCCCAGTAGACCACCCTGGCAGCATTGTGCCCCGGCTGGGTGCCAGCAACACAATGGCATGGAGCAATATCAGTGCAAGCTGTTGTGCCAGCAGGAAAAGGGGAAAGCCAGAAGTGTGGCAGGAACTAGTCATCTCCCTAAGCCACCCCAGCCAGAGAATGCCCCCAAGAACCAGCAGAAAGTTATGCCAGCAAAAACCACACTGAAGCCCATAGGCACGCAGATAATGGAAAAGGCAAAAAGCACCCCCTACAGGCAAATCCCTACCCAGAAGCACAGGATGGCAACTATAGCTAAAGTCAGTTATGCATCTCCCCAGTGGTGACTGTCGCACAGCGCGTTTGGTAGTATGAACCAGCACCTCAGTCACACTCGCACTCACCAGCAGTCTTTCACTCACCAGAGGCTTTCCTATAGTCAACCACACTGAGACAGTCCAGTGGTTACTATATACAGGAATTTATTTACAATATTTACAGCTCTCCAACAAAATGCTCTGCCAGACTCCATCCATCATCAAGAGAGATACATACAGTGGTACATAACTACATTACTACATATATACATAGATCAGCCAATCAGATCAGTGGTGACTCACTGTGACTTGGCTCAGCTCTGCCAAGTCTAAACCGGCTGGATCTGGTTTACTGCAGCTGTCAGATAGATCCTAGAGATCTTGGTGCTGAAGCTTACACACTGACAGTGACTACTTCTCCTCTCTTGCACCCAACCCCCCCCCCCAACACTATATAAATACCATCCAGGCTGCACCATAGTTCAGTAGGTAGGGTACATGACACAGGACTTTGTCTTAGATGTTTCTGATGTGCACACTTAGAGCGTACAGTGTTGCACTTGCATTTTGATGGTGGAAAAGGCAAAGAGAGGGCACTTATTACCACTGAGGGAGCACTTAGCACCATCGGCCAAAGGGGACAGCAAAGTTCATGCTATTTGGCTAACACATCTTTTTCCAGATCCCTTACAAGTATCCCATCTGTGGGGACATAAACCAAAGGGGTGACCATGCACCAACAGGTGAACAGGGGCAGGTATCCAGCTGCCCTAGGCCAGCAAGCTGCACCAGCCTCCCCCTCGTATGAGCCTGGGTGCCATCTTGACAATGCTGGCTCCCTCACCCAAGGCTTGAAGTGTGTTTGCATGGGGGAGACTCAAGCCAAGCCCCCACCCTAGCAATATGTCCCATGTCATGTAATGAGGCATAATCCCAAGAAACTGCACCCAGGATAGCTGCCTATGGGGGGGGGCTGTCAGCACACTCCCTTGCTAGGGCACCCCCAGGCGGGGAACAGGGCACAACTGTGATTGAGAGTGCTGGGCAGCTGTCCCATGGTGCTCTGTGGATCAGCTGGCCAAGCAACCATGGAACCCATTCCCTTGCAAGATTGTCACCCTATGCAGCAGCACTTCCTTATGAGATCAGTAAGTCTAATTTGTAGGAGTAACACATGCACCTGAGGGGAGTCCCCTGGCAACTGGAACCCCTTGAGGGAGTCCCCTGGCAACTCCCTCAAGGGGTTGGAGTTACAGACCCTGCCAGGGTTCCACAGGCATGGCTGTAGCGGTAATGGCATCCATGCTGTTTGCCATCACTGCACATTTGTTTGGCATTTCTGCAGGTGGTGATTCAACAGGGAGACCTTGGAACATGACGCAGTTCTTTACCCCTCTGCTCAGTCATTGGTTCCAACCTGGCTCATGGAACAGCCTGTCTGGGGCAGCCGTTCATCTGCTAAGTCCACTCCATTCACATGCATGCCATAGTAGAGACAGCTCAGCCTGTCTCCCCTTGCCCCCTGGGAACTGCTTGCAAAGGTATAGGAGCCATTCCAAAGGGAGGGAGTTGGCACCCCAATTCATTGTACCATCACGGTTTGTTCTTCAATAAAATCTGGGGTGGACTCTAGGTGGATGAGGTGCAAGGAGTCCAGGTGGATGAGGTGCAAGGGAGCTGCTGCCATGGGTGCAACATGGATGGGTTGTGAAGGGGCATCCTATTCCTCCTTCTGTGGTTTGTGGGGGCAAAATGTCAGCTCCAAGGCTTTTGCCTACCTCTTACCACTCTCCACGTGGGAAATGAACCAGGAACCCTAGCCATACCATCCTAGTGCCTTTCACTGAGCCATGCCTGTCTTTGCTGTATTCTCTCGCTGGTGACTGGTGGTGACATCAGAGCTGTCATGGAGTGGGTACTACCTGATGGCATGTCTCTGTTCCGTCTTCTTGGCCCAGTGGGTAGGACGCTGTTCTTGAATGTGAGGGATTGTGTTGAGCCAGCTTCCCTCCCTCTCTCCCTCCCATACTTTTACAGAAGAAGGGTGTGTGGCTTCAAACAGGGATGGTTACTTGTGGACAGCACTTTTGCTGCCAGTCGAGACCCTTGCTGAGGCGGGGGTGGGCATGTTATCAGCTGCACTGGTATCATTCCACAATAGCCCTCAAGGTTGGTCTGTTCAATTAATACTAGGCATTGTGTGTGTATATAACAATAATCCTAAAAAATCAAACTATGAGAGGGTACAGCATGGAGTTAATGTAAAAAATAGTACTAAAGTATAGTAGAAAAGGGGCACAACATCAGGACTTGTGGGAAACAATTTATATATATTCATTATATATATTCATTAATATATTCTGTAATGTACTGCCGCCATTACCTCGTGCGCTGACCATTGGTGCCCCGCGGCCAAGCGCTAGCCAAAGCTTCGTCCAGCATAAACAATAGACCAGTGGATCCTAGCCCGCACCAATCAGAGGGCTAGGTCCACAGCCGGGAGCCTATGAGACTCCCGGCTACTGTAAATAACCTATAGGGTTAATAGAGGTGTGTTTTAGGTGGTGGGTTCTATGCATATATACCGGCCTGCGTGCCGGCTTCTCTTGTCTTGTTCTGAACTAATAAAGTACTCTTGCTGAATCACTCGCCTGCTTTGAGTACTTTTCATATTCATTAATTAGAATACCTACAGTTCTACAAGGTCAGATAGTTAGCAAAATTTAGTACACTTGGGCCTGACCTAAAGACATATATTACAAATTTGGGTATGCCAAATGAGTTTGCTGCTCCTAAGGTTTTCTCAGTATCTTCCTAAGGGCAAATGTGGTGATGGTCACCTGCACAGATGGCTTTAAAAATAAGGGGAGCAATTCATGGAAAAGGAAGGGTATATGCTGCAAAGGGGATGGGGCAGCAGCCACCCTTTCCAAGAATGAGGAGGAACTGGTGCTGACAGGGCTGACCCGACAGGACCAGTAGCAGTGCAATGGAGGTCAGGCACGAATGGGAGTTTTTCAGACTCTCAGGATCAAAAGTCATGTGAGTTTCCAGGGTGTTGCCTGAATTCTTATGGCATTGTTGGTGTGCACGTAAGTGTGTGACCTGCAACTGTGCCCTCCCCCTTTTCAACTTGAAGGAATGCCAGGAGAATAACAGTTCGTACCTAGTACGAAAAAGGCTTAATCGACAGATGGTGTTAATGGGGGCCATAGAAGTGGAATCAAATACAAAGCAAAATACACCAAAGTTTGAATATCTACTGAAAGCTAAGCCACTTTACTTAAGTAAAGCTTGCTTGGCTTGGCAAGAAGTGAATGGGAAAGAAACGCAGGATGTGATGGGTCAATTTAGCCAGGCACAACCCGTATGCTGTGCAGACAGCAATGGACGTAAACAGATTAAATCCACTCAGACCTGCACACTTCGACTCAACTGAGTTATGCTGAGCATACCAACCGTCAGAGTTTAGTTACGCACGCAGACCGTGGATGGAAAAAGCCACTCTTCTGCTCCAATTCAGGCTCTTTTCGTTATTATTATTTTCTGCAATGTAATGAAGCCATGTGCCTCTCTGGATATTACACTGTCTTTGGGTCTTCCTCCGCCGCCAGCCAGCACCTTCTCCGTGCTTAAAGCGTAGGGGCCGAACAAGTGAGCACTCGGTGAAGTCTGGCTGCAGATCTTTGCTTTTCTCTCAGGCAGTTGCTTAGCCGCCTATGCCCGCGCGAGGACCTTTGCTGTCGTGTTGCTTGGCAAAGGGAAGCTTGCAGGCCGGGCCTCGCGAAGGAAGAAGAGAAGTCGAGGTTCCGTGTGTCTCGGCCGCAGTCTGTTGCGCCGATGGGGATAGAAATGGACCCCCTGCTCCACGCCTGGAGTTACTTCAGGCGGAGGAAGTTCCATCAGTGCTCGGATCTCTGCTCCCAGTTACTGGAGAAACAACCGGGCGACCAGGTAATGAGGAGGCTCGGGGAGCGGGATTGGAATACCGGGGGAGAGAGGGGGGCGGTTGGTGGGGGGGAAGGATGTGCGGGCGTGGAAGGAGTCAAGACTTTGCCGGAGCGGGGTCGGACCTCACAGAAGTCAGTGGCAGTCCAGCCTTATGCACAGAGATTCCCGTGTCTCTGCTCAGGGTTGTAGTGTGAGTGCCTGTCTGCATACAAACGACGGAGAGGCTTTTGCGTGACAGAACATTTGCACAGACTGTTAACACACTAGATTTCCGCTGTGACCGCAATTTTCCTAGTTTGGCATGGCTTTATACATAGTTTTGCATAGCTGCCGCCGCCTAGGAATCTGCAAATGTTGTGAATGGGGAAGAATAATTGGTTGCATTTAAGACATCACAACAAAGTTGTGTTTGTTCATGACCTCTGTAGGATAATTGCACAAGTAGATGAAAAGCCGATTGGATGCATAATAGTTAATAGGTTGTGATGCTGGATTTAAAAGTATCTAGCACATTTTGGGAAAGATCTGCGTTTGACCTTTTTTTTGGGGGGAGACCTATAATGGCGTGGGAGAAGGCGAACAGTTGAGGATTTACTAACAGTGTAGAAGATTATTTAAACTGGAGTGGTGGGTATTCATTTTTATTTATTTACAAAAGTTATTTTAAAACATACATAATAGAATCACATTTAAGACCATTTAAAACCAACTTCCCCCCAAAAAAACCACATATATTTAAAACAATTAAAAACAGAACTAAAATACATATAAAGACATAAAAAAACAATTAAAACAATTGTTCACAAAGGAGGAATCACTGAGGGAATGCCAAAACAAACAAAGAAGTCTTCACCTGATTGCCAAAGACAGCAACAGAAAGGGACAGATAAATCTCCCTAAGGAGAGAGCAGTATGATGAAGTCATTGACCCAAATATACATTTTGCTGTTCTTTCCTGTGACTAATACTTTACAAGCCCCTTGTAAGGCTGACAGGTACTTTTCGCTGATCCCTGGGTGTCATCCTGACCGTTGCCACAAAGTCGTCATGCTGAAGAACAAGGAGCGATTGGAGTTCAGCTTTGGCTTGGGAGAGAAGTTCCAACACCCCAGTGACTGTTGATCTCAGTTGCTGAGGCAGGGGTACCAACTACTTCTAGGGAAATTGGCTGTATACACCTGAAAGAGATTGCATCTGGATCACCTGGCTGGGAGCCATGTTGTCTGTGTTTCCCTACCTCAACTCCTCAAGTTTTCCAGCAGTTCCTTGAAGATGAAGAATATACATAGCATATCACAGCCTCTCTTAAGATTTTTTTTTGTAAGAAAGTGATCCTCCTTGTTTTAAGGAACAATAAAATAGATTTCATGCAGGATTAATCTGTGCCTTCTTTCAGTTACATCTGGTTTGTAAATTAGACTGCTTTTTTAGACATTGTCATGCTAATCCATACTACTGTAACCCCCAGATTGGACTGCTGTAACACATGGCCAATAGAGCTTCTTTTGAAGATGCCTCTAACGTGGTTGTGAGACTCTTATCTGGGGTCAGATGCTTGGAACTTATAATGCTAGTGCTGTGTCAGCGCCATTGCTTGCCTGTCTGGTCCAGGTCCAATTTAAAGCACTGGTCCAATTTAAAGCCTTCACAGCATGGGGCCCTTGCACCTCTTGTCATGATCCTAGGCCTAAGGCTAAAGATTAAGCGGTCTATAGGCCTCAAGGAAGCTGCTGAGGCTTTCTGTAAAGTTCTCAACAGACCTACATTTCCCAGGCCCCCTCTGAGCTTTGTGATAGAACTGGAGTAAAATTGGAGGGAAAGGGAAGGCCAGTCACCACCAAAATGGCTGGGCATGGAGAGAAATAATGGCTGAGGTCACACACACTAAATAATCCACTTTCAATCCACTTTCAGTGCACTATGTGTGAACTGGCAAAATCCAGTTAGAAAGTGCATTAAAAGTGGATTGAAAGTATATTATTTAGTGTGTGTGACCGCAGCCAATGTAAGGCCCTCCTGAAGAGGGAAGGTGTCCTTTCCCCAGAAGCTTTGTGGCAGAGAGGCTGCTGCCAGCAGAAGAGACTCCCTCAGCCAAGGAGGGTGGGTTAGATCCAGGAAAGGCCAGGTACACAGGATCAGTGAGGCAGCTGTGTTAGGAAACTTGATTGCTTTCTTGCCGGCTGCTTTATGTGTTAATTTTGCTCTGTTGGCTGAAAAAGTATTGTTGTTCCCAGGTCCCCCCCCCCATCTGTTTGGTTACTACCCACCTTTGTTTAATAAAAAAAGGGTTGTTTTAATCCGTCTAGGTCCTCATGCCACAAGCTTGACTGTTCACCTGGCAATGCCCTCAGCCCGTGGAGGGGTTCTGTTTGGAATGGAGGGGAAGAACTCTGCCCTGCCCCATTGGAATTACCAGACCAGAGTAGCGGTAGCTAGATGAGGCCCTTGCCTGCTCCAGGACTGAAGGGTGAAAGAGGGCGCATGGGACTAGAGGGCTCCTGGGAGGGGATGCCCACCTTAGACAAACCCTCACCTGCGACACCTCTCAAACCACATCTCCCAATATACTCCCATTTGCTAGTTACAGTTCTCAGACAGCCTTCTCCTAGTGGTACCCTCACCTGGGATTCTTTGTTTGGTAACACTTAGGTCATGGACATTCTCTGAAGATGCTCCTTGTCTCTGGGAATGACCTACCGGAGTGAGTGTGTCGTAGGCTTGCCAACATTGAGGTGGGGCCTGGAGATCCCTGGAATCACTGCTCATTTCCAGATGACAGAGATCAGTTATTCTGGAGAAAATGGCTACTTCAGAGGATGAACTGTATAACGTTATACCCAACAGAGGTATCTCCGCTCCCCAAACCCTATCTTTGCCAGGTTCCATTCCTACATCTCCAGGAATTTCCCAACCCAGGGTTGGCAACCCAAGTGTATTGGGTGCCTTCACTTCCTGCATTCAGGAAGGCGTGCGGGACTGTTTTTGTTACAGAGGGCATTTGGTAGAGGGTGAACTGTTTTTAACTGTGTGTTTTTAATGGCGTTTTGGTTGTAATGTTGCTGAACTCTTACAATGTTTGTGCCCTTGCAGCTTTTGCTGTTCTGCTAGCTGCCTTGAATCTGTGCAGATAACACCAGGCATAAATATTTTAAATATATACCATCCTAAATAAAGTTTTCCATGCCTGAGAGAAAATTTGAAGAGTCTTTTAATGTATTATTCTTAAACATTACCACCACTTGTGTATTTGTTTTAAGTAGCATTGTTCCACAGTTTAAATCTGTTTAGCCAATTTCAACCTATCCTTCCCCCAAGGAGCTTTAAGCGTACATGACTCACCCCTCCTAGACTTTAATCTTACCTATTTATCTGATATATCAAGAGCTTAAACATTTTCTATTCCAAAGTGGACTGAGCCAGTCTCCTCACGTCTGAAAGAATGTGTTGATTTTTAAACAGCTATGCATTTAATAGTATCGATTTCAAAATATTAATCCAAAAATACGTACCCTTCTGATATTGTACTATAGATCTTGAGATCTGGTTGCTGAGTGGATTATTTTACCAAAAGTTTAAAAAGATAATTTCTGTATGTAATGCGTAGACCAGGATCCCCTGTGGGCACCATGGCACCCACTAACACCTTTTCTGGTGCCCGCCAAGTGTTTTTGTCCAGCAAGGCTTCTGATGGGCTATTGGAGATTTGATTGGCTGTGCAATTTTTTTTTAAATGTTGCTTTGACAGCACCTACTGCTGCAGCACAAGGATCTATGCTGTGTTACTGAAGTTAAGCTGTGGCAATCATTTTGTGGCTGGCTCCTTCTCCTGCAGCAGCCATTTGGTGACTGCCATTTGGCAACCTGGGAGATGGTCTTCTCAGTCATGGCATGACAGTTCTGGAATTGTCCCCTTCTGTTGCCATCTTCCACCAGCAGATTAAGACTTTTTTTTTTGTTTCATCTGGCATTCCCTCAGTGAGCCATCCTTGCAGCCTTGCTCTTAATTGTTGCTTTTATGTATATGCATTGTATCGCATTGTATGTTGCATACCAATTTTGTTTTAATTGTTTGAATAATGTGCTTTTGTTTGGTTTTAATGGTTTTTAAGATGTGTTTTTATTATAATCTGTTAGCTGGCTTGGTGGCCTTGATGAGGGCAGAAAAGCAGGATATACATTTTGTAAATAAATAAAAGTATAAAACAAACAATACATACATGTAATATTCATAACCTGATGCTAGATCTATACTTATTTGAGGGTAAAACAAAATCAGAAATACTGTCAGCCATGTTTTTAGAAATTGTATTTTCTTCTGTGTGTTTGTCACAGTAGCATGACCTAGCAGGAACGTGTTTCTGTGGTGCTCTCTTGGTTGATCCTCCCGCTTAGTTGGTTAATCTGATTATTGTCCTTTGTGTTCCATATGTCAGTTTGAAGGCAGGAAACGAACTGTAGTTTAGTGATGTACAGAGAGGAAAAATAGTTGTGAACCACTGTCGAGGTGTGTTATTACTATTTGTTTTTCCGGGTTAATCAAGATCCTGTTTTATAAACTTCTATGTAAATACATGATTAGCTTGTTGAGGTAAACTTACGTTTCTGTAGAGAAAGGATCAAGGGTAAAACACTGGGATGTGGAGAAGGGGGTTAGAGAAATCTTCCCAATATATTTCCAGGAGAGAAATGTAAAAAAATGACCATTTTTCTCTCAATTCAACCCTGAGAGAGGGTGTAGTTTACAGTGCAATCCTATGAAGACTTACTCCAGTGTAAGTCCATTGAAATCAATGGCAGTAGACTGGCGTAACTCTTCATAGGGCTGCACTTTACTCAAGTGACTTTAGTGACTTAGCTACAAATCGGCGTGTCCCCAGTTCCACTCTTGCCTATGCATGAACCTGCTACTAAGCCTTAAGCATACCTCTTGCTCTCAGCCAGTTGACTCACTCCTGCTTCAAAGGTTGTTGTAAAGGTGATACCTGTGAAATCCTTCAGAGAGTATGTTCAGTATCTTGTATAGCTGCAAAGCATTATTATTACCTTTATTTCTAAGGAAGCATCTTCAGCTGAATCCCCCCCCCCAAATCCCCCACACATACCCATAAATGATGGATGGCCAATTAAAAGATTTTAAAATTAATTTGATTATCCTTCTTCCTCATGTGCTAAACCTAATTTTATTTGGTCGTTCCATTTTTCGTACATGTGCTGCTGAAGCATGCACAGACACCCTTGGATTTATTAGAACCTGTCTTTGTTGATTAAAAAACCCTGTTTTCTGAACAGAAGACCCTCAAAATTTTACTGGCAGGAGTCGACCAAAGAATTGCTGTAACTGTGGCTGAGTTTCTGTTCCCTGTAATGAAAATACGGACTGAGTTAAGTCCTGTGTATAATCTTCTTGGATACTAACCCTTAATCTGTAAGTTATTTTAGGATGAATGATGTACGCTGAGATTTTACGTAGGTAATTAATTTTATAAAAGTGTCAATTTTTTTTTGCTTCTGAATGGCCTGTGGACCATAATAAAAACTGAACTGAATGTTATTTGGTCTTTTATATGCTGTAGAATAAGTCATTTTGCAGAAATCTCAGTGGGAGAAACACAATACTTTGTATTTCAGAGACTAAATACATCACAGTATTATCACATCACAGTATCTTTAGGTGAAATGTTGATTGCAGATAAGTGCGCAACAACCACACTAAAATGCAATCTGTTTTGTGTCCTTGCCCTGCAAACATTAACTTGCAAAAAACTTACCCTCAGAAAATCTCTGTTACTGTAATACTTTAAAGATGGGTCAGTTAATCCTAAAAGCAGATGGACTGGGTAGTTGTTGATTGTGTACTAGCTACTGAATTCCCACCAGATGGTATGAATAAAGGCTTTAGGATTGCCATCTTCTGCCAGGCAGAAGTTTACAAATGCTTTTGGGCATGCTTCTTCCTTTTTGTTTTTGAACCTTCAGAGTCTAGAGTTGCACTGTTAGTTTTTCTTTTCCTAATATGTATGGGATGCTTTCAAATGAGACGATGAATCAAATGAGACGTCGTATTCTGTTTCCAACAGAGGGCAGTCAGATGCCTCCAGGAAGCATATAGGCAGGGTATGAAGGCAATATGTTGTTTTGCCCCAGCGTTTGATGTTTAGCAATATGTCGCTTCTGGGCATGGAGATTCCATCTAGCAATAATTGCTAATAGCACTAATGTTTAATATATTGTAAATGGTACAACTCAGCTTTAAGGGACTGTAACAATACAAGAGTCGAAATCAAATGTGGTTAAGCAGCTTGTCAATGTGGCTGCAGCTGTACCTGCGATATGTTTATACCTCTCCTTTGTTATACTTTACAGGAATCAGATTCAGAGTTCTCCGTATTTCAGGTAAAATGACTTTTAAAAAATATCTAGGAAGAAAAAATAGATTATTTGTGTGATTGTGCTGTAGAAACATGCCGTTGATGTTCATATGAAATTGCCTTACACTGAGCTAGACCATTGGTTTGTCAAGATCAGTGTTGTATATTCTGACTGACAGCAGCTCTTAGAGGTCTCAGGGGCTTTCACCTACAACCTGATACTTTTCACTGGAGATGCCAGAGATTGAATTTGGTACCTTCTGCATACAAAGCAGATGCTCTGTTCACTCAGCCACAGCCCCTGATTGTATATTAATGTTGTATTTGTCTTGAGTAAACAAGTAACTTATTTTTGTTGTAGAAATGTATATTTAAAAACTTAATGTTTTAATCTGCTTATAGCTAGATACCTTTCTGCTTCCTCTAGCAAGCCTGTGAGCGATAAGAAAAATTCTAAATCTGGTGTACAGCTCATCCAACAGAGACTGGAACTGTGATACTCATACTTTGCACTGTTGCAAAGAGGCAAGATAATTGCCTACTAGCTTTGCAGCAGCTATTTGCACTGCGTGTGACTGTCTGAACTGCTGCTGTTCAAGAGCAATGTTCTGCAGGCTCTTGGTTGGGAGCTGGTATAACCAGTCACAGCAGTTTGTTTTTGCTTCTGTACAGCCTGTGGGTCATGCTGTCTCCAGATCCAAGACGTGCCTGAGGTTTACCAAGGATGAGAGAGTTAAGGGGGCAGCAGCAGCACCAATAGGTCTGCAGTTCATTGCTTGCTCCTCATTTCCGGAGGTATTTCCTCCAGCACTGGCTTTAACTTTTGCTACTTCTCCTCCTGCCTCAGGCTTATGGCTTTTTCTTTTTCTGTCTTCCATGTTGTTACTGTATATTTTTGCAGTGCACATTCCCTGTCCACCTTTAAAATTCTCATCAAAAGGAAATCTGCATCTACAGAGTATATTTCTCGTCATTCTCAGGAAGAAACAAGATCAGATACCGTATGGGGTTTTTGTTTCCTGTTAATCAAATTTGGATCTGGCCTATCCCTTGAATTTATCCTCCAAAGAAATTGTTAGTGACTAGTAATGGGCTGGCTCTGTTGAAACAAATACTTAGTTATTCCTTGTCCTATGTCTTCTGTTCAAAGAATTGGTTGCTTTCCCTGTTCATTTTTTTTACAAATGCAGTTTACAGGGTTGGATCTAACAATGTGTAAGTGGAAAGGAAAATGTATTTAGTGCTAGTGGAATTGTGCTAAAGTAGTAGCACAAAGGCTGCAACCACACATAGCACTTATAACTTTTCACTTAGCCCATGTGGGACAAGGGAACATATGGTTCACATATCAGAAGAAATACTTCATGTCTTGTTCATATTGGGGGTGGGGGGAATTGTTGCCATCAAGTCACAGCTGACTTATGGCGACCCTGTAGGGTTTTCAGGGCAAGAGGTGTTCAAAGGTGGGTTGCTATTTCCTGCTGTGCACGGTTACCCTGGTATTCCTTGGTGGTCTCCCATCCAAATACTAACCAGGGTCGATGTTGCTTAGCTTCTGAGATCTGACAAGATCTGGCTTGCCTGGTCTATCCAGGCCAGGCCATGGAAAAGATAGGAGGTATACACAATGCAATATTCCAGTGATTCACACATAGAGGCAAATGCAAGTGTAAAGAAACAGAAGAGAACAAGAGAAATTGCTGCTACCCATTTTATTGTTTAATGTTTTTTATGATTTTAATGTAATTTTATTGTAACGAGTCTTTGACTTGATTTGTTGTGATCCACCCTGAGCCCGTTTGGGGAGGCCGGAATAAAAATCCCAAAAATAAATAAATAAATAAAATGTTCCACAAGATCTGAGAAATCAAAGGGAAATTTAAATCATAGGCATGCTGAAAGATCAGCACGGAAATACATTAACTGAACAGGACAAAATATTGAGAACATGGGAACAATACAATAAAGAACTGTACTAAAGAGACAAAAGGATGACAGATTTCTTCCAAGAAGAACTTTTTGAAGAAGACCCTACAGTTTTAGAACGTGAAGTGAGAGCTACACTGAGAGCACTTGGGAGAAACCAGTCACCAGGAGTAGATGGAATATAAATAGAGTTATTCTTCCAAGCCACAGAAACTGAGTCGATCAAAATCCTAACAAGATTGTGCCAACAAATATGGAAAACAACAATGGCCCACAGACTGGAAAGGCTCAGTTTACATCCCAGTTTTGAAAAAGAGAGATGTCAAAGACTGTAGCAACTATCAGACCATTGCATTAATTTCTCGCATAAGTAAAATGATGCTCAAAATATTATAGCAAAGACTGTTATCATATATGGAACAAGAAATGCCAGATGCTCAAGATGGATTAAGAAAAGGAAGAGGCACTAGAGATCATATTGCAAATTTACATTGGTTACTGGAGCATACGAGAGAATTTCAGAAGAAAATCAGCTTGTGATTCCTAGATTACAGCAAAGCTTTTGTCTCTGTGGATCATGAAAAGCTATGGTTGGCTTTAAAGGAAACAGGTGTGCCACAGCATCTGATTGTTTTGATATGCAATGTATACTCCAGACAAGAGGCCACTGTTCAGACAGAATATGGAGAAACAGAATGGTTAGCAAAGTTGTCAGATAAGGATGCATTTTATCTCCCTATCTCTTCAATCTGTATGCGGAACATATCATAAGGAAAGATGGATTAGATTTAGATGAAGGTGGAGTGAAAAGAGGTACAAGGAACAATAACAATTTGAGGTATGGTGCTGATGACATGACATTATTGGCAGAAAACAGTGAAGACTTGAAGCTACTACTGATGAAGGTTCAAGCAGAAAGTGCCAAAGCAGGATTACAGCTGAACATCAAGAAGACAAAATGACAGAATTACACAACTTCAAGGCTAACAATGAAGATATTGAAATTGTAGGTTTTCCGATTTATGGCGGCTTGCTCTTGGACGCATCTCATCAAACATCTGATGGAGACGTGCCGAGGCGATCGGGAGGGGTCATGGCTGGTTCCAGACCCCCTCAGAGTCACTGTACGAGACCCCCAGCCTGGGGAGCCGGGATAAGCCCCTCCCAAGGCGATAGACGAGGAATCAAGGCTTGCCTGTCCCCGAGAGGTCCTGAGGCCCCAAAGCCAGTATGGCACTCAGAGCCGACCGCCAGATGAGCGGACAAGAAAATAAGCGAAAATAAGCCTCTTGCAACAATCGAATACACCTAAACAATGAGTTAATCAGACCTCTATATATGCGAAGAAGTCTCAGTCTGCCAGTTCATTGAGGGAAGGAGTGACGGGTGGATAAGGGTCGGAGTTCCACTCCCCCTCTTGAAACAGAACGGTTTCTAAGCGCTATAGAAAAGAGAGAAAGAATGAAACTAACCATACAAGACTTCTGCTGAGCTTGAAAGCCGCATTTTAAGCCAAGAAGCGCCGAATTCAGAGAAACTTTACTATAAAAAGAAAAATTTTCTTCTTTGTAAACATGTCTGGGAGAGGGAGGAGAATGGCGACGGAGAAGAAACTTCCCCCAGGAAGTACTGTACCAACAACTCCCACCCAGACACAGGAAGCGGCTGCAGACTTCCCCAATATGCTGGCCGCAGCATTGCGTCCTCTGCTGGAGCAGATGTCAACTATCAACACCAAGCTGGATTCTGTTCGAAAGCAACTTGCCCACATGGAAAAAAGAGCCAAGACAGACAAAGGGATCGAGAAAGTTGAAACAAGAACTGGAAGAAGTTAAAAAAGAAAGAAACACTGATAAAAATCAACTTCTACTTCAACTGGAAAAATCTATGCATGTTCTACGTTTTCAAGGAGTTCCTGAACAGCAGGGAAAAGATTTAAAAACAACATTAAGTGGAGCGATTGCAGCAATGTTGGTTTTAAAACAAGAGGATCTCCAAAACGATATGGACTTGGCATATCGCACATATCCTGACTTTATAAGAAAAAACAAACTACCGGGCGAAATCTATATTAAATTCTCTAAGAGAACAATGAGACACAATGTTTTAAAATGGACAAACATAAAGTAGAACAACAACTTTTTGTTAACTGCAGAATTCTGACAGAGTTTAGAATATAAAAAGAAAGAAAACGCTAAGGAAAAACCATAACAATATTAATGTATTCTGTACTAAAATAAAATCAAATTTATTAAGCAATAGTCTGTTGCATATTATTTCTATTTTACGCTAATGCTATAATTCTGTATTGAGGTTGGTGGTCACAACCCAACAATTAATGCTTATAATGCTAATATGCTCCCAGGCACTACTTCACAACAATAATGGCTCTTGAACATGACACAATACATATGTATGGATATTACACTACACCCTCAGATTATATAGAAAAAGTGTCCATAGACCTCCCATGGCAAATGATGTTGCTGATATAAGACGGAAATTTCCTGTGCAGGTGCACAGTGGTACACATTTCCCAGGTATGCCCACATTTCAGTTTATCCTCTGAGATCAAAGCAGCTGTGTGAGTAACTCAACATCAGATCTTGTCCTAAGTTAGAAATAGTCCGTTCCACTTACCCTTTTCCCTTAGGAAGTAGGAATTAGAGTATAAAACCAATAAAATTTATTCAAAAAAACAACATTGAAATTGTTCAAGGTTTTCTATTCCTTGGCTCCACCATCAACCAAAAGGGAGACTGCAACTAAGAAATCAGGAGGAGGCTAAAACTGGGCAGGGCAACCATGAAGGAGCTAGAAAAGATTCTTCAATGTAAGGATGTGTCGCTGGTGACCAAGATCAAACTATTTCATGCCATAGTATTCCCCATTATTATATATGGGTGTGAAAGTCAGTCAATCAAGAAAGCTGATAGAAAGTAGATTCCTTTGAAATGTGATGTTGGTGGAGTGTTTTACGGATTCTGTGGACTGCCAAAAAGACAAATAAGTGAGTTCTAGACCAGTGTTCCCTCTAAACTGAGTTAGTGTGAGCTAGCTCACAGTTCTTTAGCCTCACATTTTTGTCTTAGCTCAGGA